TGTTTCCTCTTCCTAGAACACAGAGTTCACAGATTACATCACTGAGTGACATTTTTCAAAGCTGATTTTGGTGTTAAACAGTTTGTTTCTTTTCTCTGTAGCTCGAGGAAAGGACGTGAAATGAGCCAAGAGCATCGTGTGAGTCAAGAGGTGCAGAAGCGCTGCCAAGCAGCGGCTCCCACAGTGGCAGGAAAGGTGAATTCCAAAGAAATGGCTCTGTGGTGCAGCTGGCACGGGCTGCTGCAGCAGGGTCACCCACGGGAGGGAGCCGGGCAGCAGGTAAGAGTCTCAGTGTCTCACTCGTCCATCCAGACACTTCGTGGTTTTCCACTCTGTGGTGTGGGGAGCACTTCAGCAGCTCACCCTTGGAACACTCGGGATGCTGAGCAAAGCAGGGAGGAGGTGAGAGTGAGGAACAGGGAGAGAGGGAGTTATTGATTTGGGACTGCAGCAGTGAGAAGGGAGCCAGCACTCTGACTGCAAGGTTTTAGCCTCGTTCACAGAAATAAGTAACCTGAGATACAAGATTTTTAACACTTTGGCCAGATATTTCTTTGTCCTCTGTTGGCTTCTTCCAGTTTTAGACAGCTATGCCTATCTAATTCCAAAGTGATTCCAGCAGCACTGCTGCCGTATTGGCACTGTTCCAACCTACCTATGGCTGTGTGTGCCCTGATAATTCAGTGCTTGTCCAGCCCCAACGTGCAGATGCAGCTGCAGCACCTCCCCATTTGAAATTAGGTACTTGAAATAATCTTTACTTGGTGAGAAATGAAGAATATTGCCCAATAAAGGCAGGCTCTGACTTTCTGGTTATTTTTTTAACACAGTACCAGCCTAATATCTTTCTGTGTTTATTGAAATGGGAAAAGTTTAATCTTCAAAAAGCGGGGCCTACTGAGACTCCCTCAGTCACAACCATTAGTTACTTTGCAAAAAACAGTGTTTTCAGCTCAGACTTTTCATGTCACGGTCTTGGCCCCAAATATCTTGTGGTAAATCTAATTTCATAGCTTGGACTGCACCCAGCGTTGGGATTATACCTTGAGTATCCTATTTGAAAAGGCAGAGCACATTGTACTGAGTACAGGTGCAGAAACAGCCAGCCAGCTTTGCTCTGAAGTGATGAAAACCAATTTCCTGGGAAGGTAGCTGGATATTTTCTCACAACTTTAGGCAGCAGAATATTAAAATGTGTCAGTTCTGGACATGCAGGTTTAGATTTCATTTTGTTTCAGTTCCTTCTTGCTCGATTGCAATCCTAAAATAGGATTTAATTCCAATAAAAGATTTCACACCAGTATTGAAACTGAAAAAAAAATCCAAGCCTGGATATTTTGAAGCCTCATTATTATTAGGAAATCCCCAGTTCAGGATTTAAAATCAGTAAGACTCTGATGGGTCTTTTTCCATATTTTTGCTCCTAGGCTAACTCCTAGGAAAATGTAAAATCTTTTCAAATGGTCAGCAGTTAAATCATTAGTTTTTCTCATTTCCTGCTTTTACACTTTGAATTCAAATTATACGTACACACATCCCCTGGCAAAGCACTCAGGAAGCTAAAAAAATAAGAGCACTTATATGGGATTATAGATATTTCCTGTTCTTCACGTGCTTAAGTGTTTAACTGTAGCACAGGACTTAATGGATCCCTAAGGAAAAGCTCTGACAAGTATTTTAGGGGTAATCTGGTTTATCTACATCACACTGAGTACTTTTGGCATTTAATCCAGAATTATTATTCAACAGCTACCTGTGCAGTCAAACCCAAATCCTTCTATTTTCCATTTAGGAACTGTTTCTGTGCATGTGATGGTATTGCTTCAGTAAAGTATAAACACTTCCATTGTATCACGGAAGAAGTAATTCATGTATTTCCTTGATCTGTTTTGAAGGGCTTTTCTCCCTTGGAGGTTGATGCTGCAGCTTTTCTTTAAAGTCACTTGGACTCCTTCACCCTCCTGCTTAGATTGCAAAATTAGCAGGAACAGTCTCCTTGACAAGGACACTGTCCTGGAGATCTCCACCATTTGCCAAATTTTGTTAAATTGGACAGTAAAACCCAACCGTGTTAAGGAAGCACATATGTGCACACAACCACAAAAGAGTCTTCTTTATATAGTTAAGTAGAAAAAAAAAAAAGAATTATTTGCACGTTTCCAGCACGAAGCTTCAACTTAATCCATTTTCAAGACGTCTTATTAACCCTGTATGTTGATTTCTAATAAATGGCAGCAGTCACAAAGATGAAGAACTTGAAAATTTAGCCCATACTGACAGTTCTTCACTCCCTTGATTGTTAGATAAATCTGTGAAGTAGGAGAGTGAGACGAAAGATCTTTTTCCACTAAATTTAGACTTCAGTGTTGATAATGGTTTATGGGAAGAGGTTAACTGGAACGCCCTTAATGGGAAAAAAACGCCTCCCCCATGGAAAATAATGTACCCTGTGTTGTATCCTCACTGGCAGGAAAGGTGTTTACTTTAAAAAGAGATTCTTTGAAATGAGAAGTGAAAGGTTGCTCACTTATCAGCCAGACTGAGAAGGCCCAGGGTCCTTTGATAAGGAGTTTTAGACCAGCAGGAGGGTTTCCAGAGGTGTTAGCTTGGGCTCTTTTTTAACTGTCCAAAAAGTTCTTTCCTAACATACTACTTCTTTTCACTCTGTGCCTCTTCCTTTTGTTTCTTCCTGCTGCAACAATATCCTTTATTAATATGCATTTTGGGCTGAAATGCTGTAATCCCTTGGATGTCCTGACCTTTTGGTGAGGCCAGGTACTTACTTACCTGGTGGCAATCCAGTGTTTTCTAAGGAACTACATCAGTTTGTGCTAACTGAGGATCTCTCCTTCTGTATCACTGTATAGAAAACATGAGTGCTCTGCTATAGGGCGAGTGGGATTGATGTCAATGACTATTCTGATATTTGGAAAAGGAATCTTGAGGAAGTGTTATGCTGCTGATATACACAGGGTGGGCAGGCCCAGCCCAGGCCAGTGCAGATGGATCACATCAGTGAAAGCTTGGATGAAACAAAGGCAAGGATGAAGGGCTGGGAATGGTATTACAAGAGAAATAAAAATGGGAATAAAGCAGTGCTGTGCTGTCAGCGCTTAGAAGCCATCAGGAGGGGCAAGCCAAAGCCCAGGCAGGTTCACGGCCTGCGATGGTCCTTGGGCTGGGCCCACCAAAGGGACTCGGTTTTGCTTCCAATGACTCAGTATAAAGGCACCTCTTATCCTCCAGCTCCCTTGGAAGCTAGTTTGGGCAAACAGACAAATATTTTATTGGACAAACGGGATTGTCACTCCAGAATATTTCAGGTTATTTGCAACGCTGGTTTCTCTTTTTTCCGGTCCTCAGGGCTCTCTTTGAGCCCTTCAGATGTATTTGCCTACTGCTGTAGTTGCCTCCCATACTTGAGGCACACCGAGGTGTTTCATACAGTGATGGGTTAAATATAGAAAGTGCCTTGGAAAGGCAGAACAGAGCAACCACTCAATCACTTCACACATGGAACACTGCACAGTAAATGAAGGGCTTCAGTAGCGGCAGGGCTGGGATTCCTGACCTCTGGCAGACCCACCCCTCCCACTGAGGGTGATTTTAAGGAGTCACTGTTGATTTCTTTCCACTCTGCCCCTTATCAGAGGGGACAGCTCACTGCTGGCACAGATGGCCCAGGAAGGTAACTTTAAATCATCTAGACCTCCAGGGTTAGAGCCAGATTTCTATGTGGGAAAGCTTTCCTGTAAACTCGGTCCAATACTTAAAAACCTCTTCAATGACCTGAGCTGATGAGTGGTTTTGCTGTTTAAATCATGTGGAATACAGAGCTTTATAGAGCTGTAAAGAAAAATAGATAAAATTATGCCCTTTTTATTTTATTTGTCTTTAAGGCATTAGATTCAGTAAAACCTGCAAAGGACAAGGAGTTAATATACTGCAAAAGATAAAAGTGGTGTCACCAGAACATGCTTCTGCCAGCCCAAGGGGTTTAAAAAGCAAGCTAGAAATTACTGAGAATGACCAAAAAGTACTGAGATTAGTCACATTTTAGTATTCTATGTGATCGCTTTTTAGGCTTTCCACAGCAGGTTTTAAGGAAAAGGTTGAAATACTCAAGTTGTAGCATGTGAACCTCACATTCAGAAAGTCTTTTGGTTTTTTTTTTTAAGGAAAATGGGAAGACTGTGCCAGTATGTCTGGTAGGGCAATTAGAAACACCATATCCTAAGGGGGATAAACAAGACTGAAGGGCTCAGCTATTGACTGATGGATCCTGAGCAGTGGTTTGTGTAAGTAGGAAGTGAAGGGGATCACCCATGTCCCAGAGCTGGCAGAATTAAGGAGGGTTTCTAGTTTGAAAATGGAATCAGTGAGCTGTGAACTGGCACTCACTTTGCCCAGGGTTTGAATTCCCTCATTCTCCTGGGCTGAATTTAGGTTCTAGTTGGGCGTAGAATGAAGCCTGTGAAAGACTGTGGTGTCAAGTGTCTCTTCCACAAAGCAGCAAACAGCAAATTAAGGGACTAGGAAAAGGATCATGTGTCATGCTGCATGGCACTCTGGGAGAATCACTACACGAGAGCTTCTTTATTTCATTTGACGCTGAATAGTGATGGTCTAAGCCCTTTCTTCCTTCGAGATTAAAAAATACATTTTTCTTTAAGATGTGGTTCTTTTCTAATAGGAATCCAAGTTTACAAATTCTAATTTTTTGGCTGTTTCACTGAAGGACATTGCTCAGCACTTGCACTGCGGGTACTCTCGCTCAGGCTCTGACAAGGGACAGCCAGGTGAGCGATGCTGGCAGGGAATGAAGCAAACAGGTGGTGGCAGTTACTGATGTTTTATATTTGGCTTGAACTTCCTCAGAAGATGGACTTCCCGTTTGAAGGTGAATGCTGCAGTTGTGTTTTGGACCTCCTGTAACTTGTCCTGAAGTCAGAACCTGCTGCACAGATTGGGAGGCTGAGGGGAAGCTGCAGAAAGACCCTGGGAAAGCTAAGATTCCAAATTAAAGTTGGAATCGCAAGGTAAGGAATATGCTTTAATTATACTTCCTTCATTACTGTTCTAAGTGCACTAAAGCCAGCAGAATGCTTGGGCCCTTGGGCTCATGGCTGTTCATGTTCCTGCACAACTTCTGAATTCATTTTCTGAACTCAGCTGAATCCATTAAATCCATAGAGGTATCAGAGCTCCAACAAAGGACACGTTTTGTGTGACTTCGCACACAGCTTGAGGCTCAAGAGAGGGGAAAATGGTATTACTGGTTACCCTTTGCAAAATGTACCACGGTTTCATCTGGGAAATAAAGATGGAAAGAGGAGAGATTGAAATCCCTTAGTTATGCTGAGCTTGATAGTGTGATATCCGTTTAGAAATGCTATTGGACATAAGGAAAACTGAGTGTTTTCTTAGTCTTCGGATGCTCTGCCATTTTTAATTGTTTTCAAAATGAAGCGTTGTGTGTTGCTGGGACAGACAACACTGTAGGGCACCTCCTGGAACCAGGGGCCACTTAAAGTGAGCATTCCAGTCTGGGTAAAGGTGTGCAAACCAAATAAAGCGATAAATAATTATATTTGTAAGCATTTCTCCATACAATCGTCATATAAAAGCAAAAGGGCACTTTGAAACTCCCAAAAGAGAGGGGAAATAGGACACAGGTCACAAATACTGCAGTGAGGAATTTCAGTAGGAGAAAAGCTCTGCTTTTGAAACTGATTTTAACCATTTCTCCTTGTAAAAACATAGGATGCATATATGCTTGTCTATTGTGTTTGATGTCATGAACGCTGAGGAGCTTGACTAACCAACAGAAAAGAAGCAGGAAGCAATGAGGAGTCCGTGTTTATACATATTTCCTGTACACCCTTAGCTGTGTGTAACTACACCACTAACCTGAGTGAATTTTCAAATATCATCCAGCAATTTGTTGCAAAGAGTCTGGAATGTAAATGAAATCCTGAAAAAATACCCCGTGTAGTGTTATAATCCTTTTTTTAATGCAGATCAGAATATCTGGCCATCCCTTGCTGTCCTGGGGGTTTCTGGAGCTGCAGCCCCTGTGCCATAGCACATGTCTGGAGAATGCCAAGGTGGTGACAGACTGTCACACGCTTGAATTGGAGCTGACAGAGCAGCCTGCTTTAACTTCTCTGGGATTTATAATATATATATTTATATACTTGAAGCCAAACATGTGCATCTGTGTCATGGTCCCTTCTGCTCGAGGTCTCCTTTTCCCTCCCTCCTCTTTGGTGCCTGGGATTGGAAGTTCCTGCTCCTTTTACTTTTGTGAAAAGATGCCTAGAAGTTGAGCAAAAATGCCGCTGTGGTAGTTTCCCCTCTTCAACAGCATCCAAAGTATTGTTTCCTCTTCTCTTCCTTTTCCCAGGAACAGCAAGCAGCTCTGCTGAATGGACTCCTCCGTGGGGTTATTGTGCAGGTCACGAGGTTAGCTCACTTTTGTCTTTTTACTCAGCTGCTGCAGAAGAAATCCTCTGTGTGTTCTCCTGAATTGTAAAGGCTGGTAAGAAAGAGAAGCCGAAGTCATCCATTAATCCCCGGGCAAGGTCCTATTGAAGCAGCTGCAGTGAAAGCTCTCACACGCTGCCCTGGAAATAACCCCGGCTGTGACGTGGTGAGATGACCCTAGGTAAGGTCAGAAGCTCAGTTCTCATTTTCTTTTAAGCTTCTGGTTTTTAAACAGTATTTGGGGCTGTGCCTCGTGGATCTGTCGAGCTCTTAAAGCAGCTGGAGCCTCATGGAGAGCAAGCGAAGATGGGGAATCTGGAGAGGCAGGGGTTTATCTGCTAAACATCGCTGCTTTCTCACCTCAGATTACCGTTGTTTTGGCTTAAATATTTAATGACCATGACCCCATGGGAGAGCAGCAAGTGGTATCAGGATTTTAGCTTAAGCTGCTTTGTGGAGACAAAGCACCTGTTTTAATTCCTTCTGGAAATGGAAGTGATTTGGAAGCGTCCCAGCAAATTCAAGTCAAAGTATTCATTCCTGCCTGCCTGTATGCTTTCCCAGCAAGCGTGTGGATTGCAAGGATCTGTGCACACAGCTCCTGCCTGGGATCTTCAGGAGGGCTAGGGGGGCCAGGGGTCTCTGTCCTGGCATCCTGTGCTGCCAAGATGCATTTAATGGAAAGATAGTGGCATCAACTCTTTGCCTCTGTTCTTCGTAGACACTGGTATCATGCAAAGCTGATGTGTAGGGTTATGGTTAGGTGGGATGCAGTCTGCAGCTTCCCCTGGTCCTGGTCAGAGTGCGCTCAGAGCCACTGGCAGCTTCCAGGATAACAGCGTTATCTCTTGGGATCCAATGGCAGTCGTTATTTACCATTTACCATAGGGACTGCTGGCAGCCCTCCTCCAGCTGCTGGCTTTATTCTTCTGTCATGGAATGGCCTTCTGGGATAGAACGAAGGAAACTGATGGGACAAAAACTACTGATGTGACAGATTTGAAGTATTTTGTGAGGTAACCAGGTAACATCATAACTCTTCAGAGCAGGGAGCTCCAAGCTGGAGCTGAAACAGCCACTCCCGTTGGTGCTGAGGGAACTGACTTTCAACAGGATACTGATTTTTGCTTCTTATTTTTCATTTCTCTGACTAGGGAGTCACATCAGGAGAGCTGATTTTCATTATGTTTGAGAAGTAAGGGATTGTTGAACTGTGCAACCTCCCTCCCTCCACAGGGAAACTTGTTTTGTGTGAATCAGGGACAGAAATGGAACCACTGAAAAAATACTCCCTTTATCTCCCCCCAGTTATCCCCCTCCCCAAAGATTTCTGTAAGAATGTGACTAAAACCAAAGCACGTGTTAAATTGCAAAGGAATAGTGTGGAGCTGGTGAAGCCAATGGGAGGTGCACATAGAATCCCAGAATCATTTAGGTTGGAGAAGACCAAGATCATCAAGATCATCAAGTCCAGCCGTTAACCTAGACAGGGAACAGGGTTATCATTTCTTTGGAGGATTTGGGATGGGGTTTTTTGCATTTTATTTGGCACACATCTTTTCAAAACTCACCACCTTAGAAGAGGAATAATTTTATGGCATGTACCTATTATACAAAATTCACAAGCCCTACCTCTTTTCCTTCCTTTTTCTTTTTCACAATGTATTTTACAACTGCAATTTTCGTGTCTCACATTTTTTCTCTCCCATTTCCTGTGGTTAAATCTTGACCATAAATCTTAGGCCGCTTTGTTAAAAATAACAGGTGCACTATGTTTCTTCATGTAACAATCTGCTAGATTAATAGTGGCTTTAAAACAATTAACCATGTCTGTTTGGTTTAATAGTCCGTTTTAATGCACCATGAAGGAGAAGCTAGAGGCATTGTCATTTACAGACTGCTTGTGTTTCATGGGCAGTCTGGTTCTTCTTGTCCGGCACCTTGGTACCGGGATCCCCTTCTTACACAGATAATGCCAAAAGAAGATTCTTGCGCGGATTTGGAAATAAAATGACGCGTCGCTGGGTGGCAAATGAGGGTAAACTTAATTTAACTGTGGTCTCTCAGCCAAACAGGCTTTAGCAGCTTTGGGATGCACGACTGGAGTTGTCACGCAGGGCAGCCGGAGAGGAGGTGGGTTTCTGCATTGTCATGGCAATATTTGAGACATAAAATGTGGTTCTTGTCAATTCTACTTTTTATTAAGGCTGGAAACCTGAGCAGGTCATGGAGACACGTTCTGGTGTGTCACAGAGCAGGATCTGGGCCTCCAGCCCTGCCTCATGGGGGATCCCACCCTTGGGTTCTATTTCCATCCGGGCAGGCTCCATGGAGAGGGAGGACCTGAGGCACAAGGTCATTTAAGGAAGGCAGGATTTTACATCAAAGCCAAATTTCAGTAGAAAGAACAGAATCAATGCTTTCCAAATTGGCTGCTTGTAAGAATGAACATCAAATGCACATGGTAGATCAGAATCTCAGTAAATTGTTACGATTCCTAAATATCAGGAAATGTCACTGCAAAACTGAGCATTAAAGCTCGTGCGTGTGCAGGATTGGTGAAGACTGGGATTGGTCTGGACTACAGGTATTATTCCTAGATGTTATAGTTAGGTTACAGTATACATATTACTCCTAGATGTGATAATTGATTTTACAAGGGGCTTTTCTTGCAATATTTGAAGCCTGTATTAAGTAGCATTGCCAGAACTCCTGATCAGTAACTTCTCTTGGTTCTTCAAATTTCTCAGTTTGAGTTCTTGCTCCAATTAAACCTTACTTTGAAATTGTTTTGTGTGTGAGAGGATGTGAGACCTGCTGGAGACAGTGCTCCAGACAGGTACTGCCACGTTTTACTCCCCAGAGTATTCTCCCTGCCAAGTCCTGCTGCAGCCTTCCCGCTCCAAACCTTGGCCCTGTGCAAAGCCTTCAGATTTCAGTGCCTCTCTTTGCTTCAGGGCCCAACCTCAGGTTCATAAAATATTTGTGGCTGTCAGTCCCACGCCTCAGCCAAAGCTGCACAGATGCAGAAAGCCTGAGGGATTTTAGAATTGCAAATGCTTAACAGATTTTTAACGGGTATATATATGTACATGCATATATAAATACATATATGCATATTGATGTATATCAGACTTGAAATACAACACAAAAGCTGAGATTTCTTTGATAATAGTGGGGCCAAGCTGGGTTGTTGGAGAAATGACTTTAATTGAACTTCCAAATACTACCTCAATTTACGCGTGTTACAGGTGCGGCATTGGTCTTGTTTCTTACTAGAAATAATGAGGCATCTAATTTTAACACCTTAGTTTTGCTCTCTTATGATTCTGTCAAGCCTTTGACAGACCACAGAACAGAGTATCTGCCCTGGCCCCCAGCCCTGTCTGTTGTGTATCTAGGTTTCTTTGACATTTAGAATCTTTTTAAGCCACTTTGGGAAAGTTCAGCAAGGTAGGAGAGGAGGTAACAGCACTGTATCGCAGGGATGTTTTTAAGAGCATACAATCAGCTTTCCTGGAGGTGAGGAGTTTGGATCCCTGGGGGTGTGTGCAAGGTGTCCCTGGCCGTGGCAGGACTAGAGGAGGTGCAAGGTGTCTCCCAGGCCAAGGCAGTGATTCTGATGCCAGGGGTTGTCCCATAATCAGCAATCCGCGTGTGGGGAGCACCTGGGGCAGTGCAGGTGCACTGCAGCCACCAGACAGGTGTGCAGGGCTCAGGTGTGTGGCATTGCCCACATCAGCAGCGTGCTCAGGGCTTCAGCAGGGCGCAGCAAATCCATGGGGGAAATAAAATGTGGCATAGTGCACAGGACATGAATTACCTTTCAGTGGAGAATTTGGAGCTGGCAATTTACAGGCCCCTCAGCCTTTCCCGTTCTGGGCTGTCCCACGAGTGGCTCCGTGCAGCTGCCGGAGGTTACAGTGCTGGTGTGCTGAGTGTGACAGGCTGCTCTGTGTTGTATGTACAGAAATGATCCTACATGTGTAATAACACATGCATTCCCACTCTCTCAGAAAAATTCCTTTTATTTTTTTGGCTTTGTGAGAGAGCATGGTGCAGTTGAGGACCTGTGTCCTCTGAAACAGCAGGGCTGCTGTGGTTGGAATATTGAAGGTGTCTCCTGAAAATTGAGCCTGGAGCTCTCCTTTTTTTTTTTTGAGGCAACTTGGATTTAATAGAATCAATATTTTCTTTTTTGCGTATATAGGATTCTGGTGGGCAGGGTGAACCTAAAACTCATAGTTAGGCTGTCATTGGTGTTCTGAGAACATTTGAGCAGCAGCAAACTGTGTCACGTGAGGCCATCAGACACGGATTTGGGTTGGTCGTGATGTCTCACAGGAGTGGTATTGCAGGAGGTACAACAGAATGGTTTAAAAACTGCATTTTATATTGGGATCCACACATTCAGAACACTGGTTGATTCTGACCCTGACAAAGTTCGGTCCTTGCTTTGAATACTGTTTAGTCTCTGGCTCCTAAAGAAGTGGTTGTAAAGGTTTTGTTTCCACCCTTGGGGGTGGCACAGTGGTGTCTGTTACTAACTGGTTACACACAGCCTCAACTGGGTGACATCTTCTAGGGAAAGAGAAGGGACCAAGAATATGCAGAGCATGTTTGTGAAGGTTTCTGTCTGTGGAAAGTCCTGTGTGAGTGGATTTTGTGTTCTGCCCAGGCTGGGCACTGTTGCCTTTTGTGTTGTGTGGTGGGGAGAGAAGTCACTTTGGTGTCGGACTCCAGTCCAGCGGGACCTTTGGGAACTGTTGTGACAGGACATGGGGTGATGGTTTTAAACTGAAGAGTGTCGATTCAGGTTAGATAATAGGAACAAGTTTTTTATGATGAGGGTGGGGAGGTCCTGGCACAGATTGCTCAGAGAAGCTGTGGCTGCCCCATCCCTGGAGTGTCCAAAGCCAGGTTGGACAGGGCTTGGAGCAAACTGGGCTAGTGGAAGGTGTCCCTGCCCATGGCAGGGGGTTGGAACTTGATGGGCTTTAAGGTTCTTTCCAACCCAAACCATTCAATGATATTAAGATTCAGTAGCTTTTGCTGCACTTCCTTGGGTTGATTGGAGTTAGGGGAGCTTGGAGATGTGGTCCCAGGCTGGGCAGCTGCTCTGGGAGTCCCTGCCAGGGTGTGATGCCAGCATCCCTATGCAGGCAGTGCTGGATGGTGGAA